TGGGATCATCTAATGGATTCAAGTATTACGTGCATGACCCTGTGACCTCTGAGTACTCACCTAGTTCCTGGATGCATACCACTGCCCTTGTTTTCTGACAACTCTGTTCCTGATTGCTTGCGTTCTAGGAGGCTCCTTTTTGAAGCTCTGGCTGAGAATCAAAAGATTGTACCTCCTAATCCTCAGTTTCTTCCTACTTCACTCTTGCATTGTCCGGTCACAGGCCCCTGGGTGGCCACTTGCTGGGAAGGAAAGATAAAGGGTTACTCACCTGACTGGGTGTCATGTTCTCCAAGAAGCTCTCCTGATGACTCTCACTCTCATCCTTCTGGCCCTTGTGCAGGAGCCTGCAGTTTCGTCTCCCCAAACTCCAGGTAGTGAATGATGTGATGCAGTGGGTTCAACAGAACATCAATTTTTCTGTTTCCCAAGTCTATTTAAATCACCTCCAGAAAGGAAGCACTGGGAGCAGAATACAAGTTAAGTGTACTATGGTTGGAGCTCCCCAAAGCTGGACCAACACATGGTGATACTGCAGCAAAAGAGCTACTGCAGGTTAGCAACAACAGCAAGTAATAATGGGCTGCAAAAGCATGGTGGAAAAGGCATCTTTCTCTTCCCAGTGCTTTCTGTCAGCTTGCTCTCCTAGCCAATCGTAGCCCCCACAATCCTTGGGGGCTCAGTTAATTGTAACCCTCGGGCAGGGAACTGCATTACAATTGGCCATTTGGAATATCCCCAGTAAATGTGTTCCTCCCAGAGGACAGGAATATATTTCAGATATGGTATAGGGCATTATGACGTTGCAGAACATAATCATAGCTTCTTTGTTCAATGTCTCAAATTCAATGCCACTAGTGCCAATTTATCACAGTTCAGTTACGTGATGGACTCCTTTTCATGTGCATGTCCCTACACCTGTCCCCCAAATGCCAGTCTGCCAATTTAAGAAGTATGCAAATATAAACATGAGATGTCCCGAATAGATGCTAAATTGGTACAAACAGACTGGTAAATGGCTGGTCCATTTGGCTATAATGTTTATCCTGGATACAAATTATCTTTTGACAGTGAAAATCCTGTTAAAATTATGTAATTTTGAAAGAATTTGTTAAAAGGTATCTAACATGCAGTCATGGAATAAATTCATTATTCTCGAGCTAAGAGCTTTATGATGGATTTATTTAATTCTTGTGAAAGAAAAAAAGCCGTCCCCGTTTCAGATCTATGAGCTAAATCCTGTGGAGTTACACCAGGGACATATCTGGCCTCATATGACCATTCTTTAACATAGTCTTACCTAGGGGATGAATACATGTATATCTGCATATATTCGTAGAGAGAATATCTTCTACATACATTCAAATAGATATCTTTTAATATCCTCTCAATTTCAACTGCGCCCTTGAAAGTTTTAGCATTATTTATTTCAAATAAGTTTATATGTGTATGATTGATTGAAATCTTGAGCTGCAATTAAGAAAATTGCAGCGGGAACCATTAAAAGGATAGCCTCATTGTCTCCCCTTTCTAAGAAAATGTCAGGTTTCAATGTCACCGTAAAATAACCCAATCACATGCTTGTACACCACACGCACCGATGGAAGTAAGACTAAAACCGTCTGGTGTACTAATTACAAATGACTAAAAATAATGACACACACATAGCAAGAAATTGAGAGGACCCAGTCCTTATTACTAAACTGCCACAGTGTATATACACTGTAATACAGGTTATTGTGAAGCAGCCTATTTAGTAAATATACAAACATTCATCCCCACTTGTAGATTAGTCTGAGTCCCTCCCCCCATCTCTCTCTGTCTCTATGCCCTTTCTTTCTCTCCAATTATAAAGCAGCGCCAGGTTTTCTCATCAGCCATCTCCATGTCTCCAAATGGCTTTTCAGTGTCAGGCCTATCAGGAAATTAACTCATCATGCAGTGACAGCTGCTAATTTTTTCCCCTTACATGTCAGATGGATCGCCTGCTGAAGCTAATAATGAATCACCAATCCCTGATTAGAAGGTGCTTCCGAAACGTATAACTGCCATCTGAGCTAACTTTTTTCTTCATATAAAATGATATCACCCTAGAGGAGTAGAAAACGAATTGTATTCTTCAACAAGATGGAACGGGGTAGGCTGTTTAAGTGAACCGTGTGCTATCTTAAATTATGGGCTAATATTGCACAGTAAAATAAGTGAAAACTCACAGCTCTTTTTTATTTTGCCAAATTAACGACCCTTTTCTGTTACTTAATCCTCTCAGCAGAACTAACTTGGTTTCAAATTTCAGGACTGGCTTTTCTCCTCATCCCTCTCTGCTCTTTATTCTATTTACTGCATTTATGCTCAGGAAATCTACAGAGCTGGAAATGCTGGACTCTCTCTCACATCTCAAAGCTGTTTATTGAGGCACAAGTTTGCACCAACAGCACAAGTTTGCCTTGTACTACTCGGCCAGTGGCTTGAATCCCCATGCTTTCCTGAAGGGGGGCATCCTCCATGCTAGCTCAGGTTCAGTCCTGGCCCAGCCTCAGGCAAAAAACTTCATTGTGTAGCGTTTCCTACAGTGATTATACAATCTGAACCCACTGTCCATAAAGATCACAAATATATTTCTTCCAGGACCTCGCAGTGAACATTTGTGGTATTACGGCAGCATTTATAAATGACAGCAGTGCTTGCAGCATTATGCACAATTCACATGTGTGTACCGCACATCAACTCTTGGCTCTGGCTTGTCTACCTTCCATGGTGAGGTGCAGCTGGTAGTCAGGCAGAATGGGATGTAGCTGTGGGCACTTCTTTTTTTTGTTTTTGTTAAAGGAAATATTTTTCTAAATAGAATTTCCAGCTACCTCTTAGCTCTCATTTCTCCCGAAAGATGGAGCTTGAATTCTTTAGGAGACACGGCCCTGGAAGGTATGTATATATTTAACTCTAAGATGCTGGGGGGAGGTCCTTGCCATCTCTCCTTTCTCTAGTTTATTTGTACAGGAACTTGATGCTTTTCTAAATGCTTTTATTACCTTCACAGTTCACATGATCCAACTTCACTAACAATTATTTGAGATGAGTATCAAAAAGAAATTCAAGCCAGTGGAGAACGTTGGCAGCCATAACATCAGAAGAGAACAAAATGTGTCAGATGTGATATATGAATATGGCATTTTTAACAACTGATCTCATAATGATTTCATAAAGTGCCAAGATTTACCACAAGACAAAACCACCTGAAGTGCTTCAAGCCAAACAACAAAAATACACTCTTAAGAATTAAATGTTACTTGTACTGTTCACAAGCAGGATCCACCCCACAAGACCTTCTGCTAAAGGTGAAAGTTACCCCAGGGTTAGAGGGCCCTTACACCACTTCAGCCCTACATGTCATGCCAAATCTCACTAGCCAGGATAGTGCAAGAGGATGGATAGAAGCATTATTCTTCCCTGAAGACCATACAGTGGCAGCACAATTGCTCTGTGGCACTTCTCAGGGCTAGAATAGTCTCTTTACTGACTGCATCTATGCTTCTGGGGATGAGGGGGAGCGGAATGGCTGGAGGATGCATGGAGTGATACATAGGTGCTGGAACTAGAGGTGCTGGGAGTGAAGAAGTGGTAATAAAAAAAAACCCAAATACATGATTTCCACCAACAGCATCCCCACTATAAAAACTTTTCCAGCACCACCGGTGAGGTACCACTGTCTCCATCCCACTTCCAAATCCTCACAGTTCAGACACCCTGTGTGAGCTCAAGAAACCTTGTTTCCCTCCTGTACATTGGGACAGAGTTGGTGCGTAGGGTCTTGTGTGGACCATATGTACTGGGATGAATTTCACCCTTTATTTCCAATGCCACTAATACATTAATTTGTAAGGCACTAATACATTAATTTGAAAGTGCACATTAAAAAAAACAGTTGTCCTGAACGGGTTGTATGCTAAGAGAGAAGTATTGTTAACCTGGGTTTCTAGGTAATGACAGCACACTGTAGGCTAGTGAATCCTTTCCAGTACTCTCAAGCCCAGAAACACCTCCTGCATAGGTTTTTTTTTTTATGCAAAGGTCTGCTCTTTTCATTGTGCAAACAATGTGATTGCTGGTTTGACACTGCAGGCTACACTGGTTTTATGAAGGATTAAATGCCACCTGAGACATATTTATCCTAAATAAATCACAAATGGTAAACTGCAGCATGTCAGTGTCAACACCCTGTACTGCAGCAGAAAGGTTAGCCATACAGGACTAAGCACAGCTAAGAATTAGCATCCAAGCCGCAAGACCAAAGGCTACAGTTAACAGGAGAAATGATCAAGAAGAAATATTTCCACTGAAAAACATTCAGTTTTTGAACATCTGTGAGAGTCTTGCAGAGGGCCATCATTTTGTAAAGGTCACCTTTATCCTGATAACAAACGGGAGTTGATCCTGTCACTGTTTGCTGAAGACAGTATTTAAGAGTAAGTGAACAGCTTGTCACCTCTAAGAAAGATGAGCAAGTCAAACTCAGCTAATTATGAATCTCGGTGTCTAACTTGAAATTTACTTTTTTGGGGGGTCTGACACAGATACAACCTTAACGCTGGGAGGATGGGGGGGGGGGGGATGAAAAGCCAGCAGGATCTTCTAGCTTCAGAGTGAGGCACCTTTTCTATTCAACTCCCTCAGAAAAAACATTTTTTAAACAGTTGCTCCAAGAAGAAACTATTGTTTCACCTCTCCCCAACTTTCTTATACTTGATGATTTTAAGATATTAATCATGATAGGAAATGCAGTTATCTCTAGAGTCTGCTTGGTTTATACCCTAAACACTTAGACAATTATATTAAGCATGCATGAGGCACACTTCAGAAATTAGATTCTTTTATCTTTATCTATCTATCTAGCCAGAGAAAGGGAAAGAGAAAATGCACAGACATAACCGATAGCATTCGTTTCCTGCTGCTGAATGCTACTGTTGTTTATTGCTTAATATTAAAAATCATGATGCTTCTTTTTAATGCTAACATTTTATTTGAAAGAATCCTCCCCCAAAATCCCAACCAAACCCCCTTACCATTTTATATTTTACAATTTCTTTTTTAAAAGAAACAAAATCAGTTGTATCAAGAAACAAATCTTTTCTACATGAACTTGCATTGAACAGTTGCAGTATATCCACAACTAGATAATTGACATTCTGGTCTAAGCAAGAAATACAAGGTCACCTTTTTTCTACTTGTTAATGTCAATGTCAGAATTTTCATTAAAAAAATCCCTAACATTTCAAAAAGTCATTCACAAAATGAACTGCAAAATGGTATTTATGTGAAGCACTATTTGTAAGAAAAGCAAAACATTGACAGTGACAATATTTTTCCCCCCAAAATGAACATTTCATATGCAGGACTTTTATATCTGAAATTAAGTTGCAAGTAATAGACATTAAGCTTTTTCTAAACCAAGACAGTTTTTTTTTCTGAATACATGTATCAAGACTTTTCTAAAGTGTAGATTTTAGAGGTCTCTTACACAAAGTCCAATGCAAAACAATGAAAGAGTTAACTATAGTTAAAGAAAAATGATTCTCAGACACAAATTTAGAAAGGGTCATTATGCTGAGATGTTTTTGACCAGGGACATTTTAGAGCAAGACTTTAGAAAACCAAATGTCAGGCTTTCTGCCTTTGAAGAAGACAGGACAACACTTGTAGCATCCAACTTTACTTACAAACTGTCACCTCATATTTTTAACATGTGGTGTGATTTTGGTTTTTTAATTTTTTTGCTCACACAATGTATATGTAAAGTGAAAAAATTATGTTTAGCATAACCACAAAAACAGTCAGATAAGGCATAAACCAGGAAATCACCCTGAACTCACAAAATAATCCAAACCAAACCAGAATCATATCTGACTCATTTGGGTGGGGGAAGGGGAGCTTTAGTCATTTTCTTACTATATTATGCCTGTTAATCATACTCAGATCAAATTTCTGTCCATTGTAACAAGATAATACCTTTTCTGTATACTCTTCCCAGTAGCTGACATTAACCTCACACAGCGAGGCTGGCACCTGGATGGAGGAATAGCATATTATGAAGGTTTTACAAATTAAGTTCCTACACGTGTCTATTAATTTTCCAAGAAACAATTCTTCACGCTTCTTGTAGTTCATTACTATCTCCCTGGCCCTGAATTACTGTTGCTTGGGAGCCACTCTCTGTATAAATGACCATACTAGTTAACTGTTCTCCGGTTCCATCAGGGGATGCGGCTTCAGCATTTATAGCAGTACCAGCTTCCAAAATCTCTTGAGACTCAGCTGTCTCTATCACAGTGTGTGAATACACACCAGTCTCATCCTGTATATCTTGTGGCAATTCTGTTACAATATAATGGGTTGGACCTTCAGAGAAGTTGCCATGTGAATCCCGAACCATGGCTTGAGCTATTTCTTCTGTGACAATGATCTGTGAAATTTCTCCATCAGACTCAACTAAATCCATGTGCTCACTTTGGACACTGAGTGCATGGCTACCAGCTTCTTGCATTATTATTTGAGAGCCTTCTCCAGCCACCATATGCACTGTTCCTTCCTCATTTACAATGACCTGAGTGACACCTTCTTTCATCAGCTGGTCTGCTGCAGCAGTGTCACATACTGCAAACTGTAGTACTCCTTGGACCATTTTCTTGAAGGCAGCTTGAGCTCTCTCCTGAGATGCAATTATAGTAGATGGGTGAATGACCTGTGTCACTACTTCCATCGGTTCTATATCTTCCTGAGTCCCTTGAACTTCATGGAACATTTGTATTTCTTGTGTCTCTGTGTCATTAGAATTATTGGATTGCTCCTGATTTGTCATTTGTAACAACTCTTTGTGACTAGGCCTGGTTCTGTCGAGGAGGCCAGTTTTGTTTTCCACTTCACCCAGCTCTGTTACAGCACAAAGGAGGGCATCTAATGCTGAGGAGGACTCTGGAGGATGTACTGTAGCTTCTGATGTATCTAAAATTTCCTGTCTCATTATCTGTTGCACCACAGCATTACCGGAGTCAGACACTGCATCTATTGGGACAGCCTCCTCCATATCAGTTCCCTCCACAGAGCCTTCTACCACTACCACTTGTGTCGCACTACCTGATAATTGCTCAGTGAGTATTTGTCCCGGAACCAAGCCACTCACATGAGAACCATTTTGACTTGTGGCTATAACTTGCCCATCTTCCGTAATATGCACCACCCTTGCCACCTGACCTGCCATTGCCAAAGTCTGAAGGGTAGCTGCTGCCGTTTCTTCCACAGAGGCATCAATTGCAAAGTCACCATCATATCCTTGAATAATGATAACTTGCTGCACTTGTTCAGCTGATTGGGATTGTCTTCTGTTACTTCGAAGGGCCTTCTCTTTAACTGGAGAAACTTCTCCCAGGGCTGCTGCAGTGAAAGGACTGGTGGTCTCTACAAAGGTCGCTCCCTGACCCTTCAGTCGGCATTCGTAGGACTTGGATACAATGCCTAGGAAATAAAAAAAGTCTGTTAATAGGGAATCATGGCAAATATTTGTAGTTCACTATTTTAAACACAAAAAACTTTCCAATGCAATTTTTAAATTTTCCCTGGCAGAGAGGTGTAATATGCAATTGAACAAAACCAATTTGCATGTTTTCCAATTTATTTATTTATAGAATCCAAATAATTGCTGCTGTTAACAATTCTGTAGAGTACTAACAATCTGAATTTGTTACTTTTAAAACATTCTGTACTAAGCAGCATACAAATACAGTATACAATTAAAAACCATTAGCACCTTTATGAAAAAACATATCTGTAGTACTGCTATTTTTGTAATTAATCGTATTTGCCTGTATTACATTAAGCACAGCTGGGTGTGATAATGTGCAACATATCCTTTTCAGTATTCTGATTTTCTTGGTAAATTAAAGGCCATATCTTTGTTTTGATGCGTTAGTTTCCTCCTCATTCCCCCACCCCAATTCCTTCCCCGACACACCTAACTGACATTATTCATTCGTCTAGTTAGTTGGAGGAAACATATAGCCTCACTCTGAACAGTGTATGCCGTAAAAATGCCAGCATGGGAATTGTCTCCTGATTGTTTTCATATAAGAGCTTCTCAATTTACAAGTAAAAAGAGGTTTTTTCCAACTACTGTCTCTGCAAACCGAACCCAGATTTTGAGAGCCATTGCAGCTTCTTGTCCTTCTCATGCTTCATCATCCATGACTAGGGCCCTACCAAAAACTTCATGGCTGTGAAAAATGTGTCACAGACTGAGGAATCTGGTCTCCCCTGTGAAATCTGCCCCGGGGAGGGGCAGGGCTGGGGGCGCCCCAGCCAGGGCTCCTACTGTGCACCAGGCTCCAGCTGCTAGTTCTGGCAGGGCTGGGGAGGGATAGGATTTTCTCTTCTCCTGCATGGGCCATTCCTGGACCAGGTCAGACCCACCTCTAGGAACCTCCCTCAGCTGCAGGAAGCCCTGCACCGCCCGCCCTGCTTCCTGCCCCCATCACTCCTCAGCCACGGGGAGAAGGGGTCACTATACAGGGAGCAGCCACGGAGTTTCATTCAGCTGAGGGAGGTTCCTGGAGGTGGGTTTGACCTCAGTAGTGACCCCTGCAGGAGAAGAGGAAGTCCCGTCCCTCCCCAGCCTGGCTGGGACTAGCAGCTGGAGCCCCCTCTGGTGCACCCTGCCAAAAGAGCCGGAACGGGAGGGTGGGGCAGGGACCATGCCGCCTCACTTTTTAACACTGGCATAATTTGGCATTGCCCCCCAAACTGCAAGTCTCAGGTAGGCACAGAGCAGCCTCAGCAGGGGCTGCACTTTGCGGTGGGGGAGCGGTTATCAGCTGCTCTGTGCCTGGCTTGTAGTTTGGGGGGTGACACCGCCCCTTGCCTCCAAACTACACCCATGTTAAAAAGTGGGAGGCATGGTCTCCGGCCCCCTGGTTCCAGTGCTGGTGGCCCCTCCACTTCTACAAAGATTCCGGTGCCCTTGCCCCCAATGCTCAGGGGCTAAAGGGGCTTTGGGCTGGCTGTGTGGGGGTGGGAGGTACCACAGGGCCCAGGGTGGTTGCCCACCCATAAGGGCTAGCCCCCCAAAAAGCTATGCTCCACCCCCCCATACCATGTGACCCTCGTGTCTGCGCTGCCCGCTGCTCTTCGCCTGCCCAGCTCTGAAGGCAGTGCCTCCGTCAGCAGCAACGCAGAAGTAAGGGTCATAATACCACAGCCCTCCTACAACAGCCTTGTGACCCCCCTCCACAACTGTCTTTTGGGTTGGGATCCCCATGGTTATAACACCATGACATTTCAGATGTAAATATCAGAAACTGTGAAATTGTAAATTGACATTTTTAAAACCCTGACCATGAAATTGACCAAAATGGACTGGGAACTTGGTAGGGCCCTACCAACGACCAAGGTTCTGCAGGCCAAATGATGTCCTAGTTACAGCTGTTCAACCCCACTGTGTTGAAAATACAACCTCACTGATACCGTGCAGGCCCCCTTTCCTTCGGTGCAATTGCACAGGTATAGTTGACTGGATCTTCTGTGGATGCAGAAGATGGACTAGAATTCAGCTCACTCTCACTTAGCTATGTGGGCTGTGCAGGGCTAACAGGTGCAAAAAAAGCAGTAAAATCTTATTTTCGTCACAAAAGAGAGCAGCCAGGACTCTGAATGTATGCAAGGAGCAGGCCTGTTGTGCAGGAGGGCATCGTTTTTACATTTCGGAGTAGACCTTCACTTTCAGTTGCTGATTCTTTGAGCCAGTAAGTAGTAGGTGCTAATGAATGTCACGGTTGTTTTCCCACCTCAGAGTCCAAGCAAGTTGCTCCGTGACCTGGCCTTGGAGAATTCAATCGTCCAAAGTGCTGAGCCCATTGGTCCTAGACCCATAAAACACTGAAGCGTGTGCTTAAAGACAAAGAGAAGAATTTCTTAAAGTTAAGCACATGCTTAGGTGCTTTCCTGGATCAGGGCCAAAGTGCTTAGCACCTTGCAGCAGCACCAAGCCTCAACAGCATGAAATACTAAGGTTAAGATCAAGCCAGGATCTCATACACATCAAGATAGTACTTGTGCCCAAAAGACTGGGCTGTAGATGATCTATTATTTTTTAAAACTTCAAAGCTTTGGCTGGATAATTACACTACAGAACACATGCATGAAGTCTGTTAAACTGAGACTGCAGATCAGCTTCAGGAATCTAAACTGGAGTTAGACAAGCTTCGTCATCTTAGCTTGCAAGGCAGGAGGGAGCTTTAATGGTTATTTTTGGAAAGGAAAATTAACAACTTAAACTGTTAAGTATTTCCAAATGATATTGCATGATTGATCTGGCACATGCTACTGAATTAAATTTTGGCAGGGATAAGCTATGGTGGTATCACTGTTATTTATCCTGTTATGTTTTTCTCTCTGTGGGCACTGACATACACAAGACCCCCAAACAAGAGAAAAATAGGAGGCAGAAATCAGTATCAAAGGATAATTATCAAAATAATCTTAACATGTCCATGTTTCATGATCACATAGGAGTAATTAATTCACTCAGGAGTCTTCTTTGTTGACATGATACAAGATGGGTCTTGCAGTGATATGGCATGAAATCAAACTAAATCTACAAATCACAAGTATTCATTGGATATAGCAGAAAACACACCATCATTACCCTCAGAAAAAGGTAATTTAGGTACAGTAGAGATCATACTGTCATCACACTTAGGGAAAGGTCCAGTTTATGGGGGGAGGAAAGAAAAAGAAATGCTTCTTGTTCTTAGCCTCTAAAATAAATGCTGTATCTGTGAATCTATGCAACTCCAGTCTTTACTCTGCAATTGAATGGGAAGTCTCTTGGGTGTAGAGTTATCCAGTGAATTCCTTGCAGCACTGATAATTACGCCATTCTGACTGCTTACTTAATCTATTTGAATCCAGAGGTGAGTTAAGCCACTTCCTGACCATTAAAGTAAACTACATGGGTAAATACTGCTGTCACAAAGGGGGTGTGATGAAGCTTAACTACACCAACATCTTAACCTCAGCTCGGTGCAACCCCAGCTATTCCATCACAGTTCATAAATGCGATTGCAGGTCCATCTTTTGATTCAGCAATTTAATAACTTCGAGTGCTGTCAGTACTGCTTTGAAAAATGGCTCCTATAAAATGTAACAGCCTCAATCAGATTGTAAAAGATTCACCCACTGAAGATTCTTCCATTTCAACTATAATGAATTAATGTTGAGCTATGTAGAAGTTCAAGTGTCATTTAAACTAATGTGACTCTCCACTGCAACTTTAAATTTTAACTGGACTATGACCAAGAATTTACTGAGAACATCAACTTCAATTTTAGTGATCTTCATGGTAAATACGAATTGTATACTTCATAGGTTTTCTTTGTTTTGAAAGTGAAGAGCCACATAGGGGAGATATTTAGGAAACAGTATGTTTTAAGGATTAGTTGCTATTATGACTTTGGGACAATACAGCTGTATAATGGGCACTGCTATTCAACATAATATTTTTACATTGTGTAAAGAAAATGTCGCATTACTCGACTGTATCAAGCAGCAAGTCACTTGTGTTACTAAAAACAAAAAAGGAATGGGGGGGAGGGGAAGCTTTGATTGTCATGCCAAACACAAGCTAAAATACAAACGTACATTCATATTAGGAAAACTACACTTGCTGCTGATAGTATGTCATTACAAATTGAAAAAATACACAAATAAACATTCAAAGGACAAAACAATGATGCAAGAGCTCATATTCAGAAAAAAATTGCAAAGAGGTGTTTCATATCTAGGGGTGCAATGATCAGAGAACTGGTTTCTTTCCAAGAAGCCTGTCATTTTAACAGAGACATTATTTATCAGCTGGAGTTCTCAGTGATTGTTTTTTTTTATTTGAAAATGTCAAGATTTTAGACATTAAATCCATATTTCCAGGTTATTTTAATTCTCCGAGAGCACAAACTCCCCCAAATATGGCTAAAAGATAGGCTTTCATGTTTAATATGCTTTTGGGAAACTACAAATAGGGTTTAGTACTTTTTTTTCTTTTACTCAATACCTGACTTCTTTCTTTTGTGTGTGTGTGTGTTATTCTTTTGTTACTGTCATCATTTTTCCCCACAGAATAAATATCTTATTCTTTTGTTAAGCTTACATTTAATTAAAATGTACAGGATTTGTGCAGTAAACTCGAATGAAACAAATAAAACAAGGGCCCCTCTCTTGAAGGCATACGTTGTGAATGAAAAATGTCATTACAGACTAAAAAATTTTGCAGTAAACAGGGCCTACAGAGAGAAGTTTCCCCCGTAATGACATCCATAAAATACACAAATGGCACTTTTAGTACCATCCTGAATATGGCATTTTCTGTGCTCTACACACAATCTAAATGGTTTGATCATAGAGCATAATACTCCATTGGGTTTATAGAACAATCAATGTTCCATAAAATGATGTATTTATCCAATAGA